TGCAGCAGTAGTGCAAATTTCACTGACAAATTACAAGCATTTTAGGTGGATGGCTTATGAATTTCTATTGTTTCTGCAGTATTTTACAGGAATTGCTTATTTGCTTTCTTGCAGAGAGTTAGATGAGAAAATTGATAGCACTCTCATGTGGAACATATTAGACTAGTGTAACGCCAGCAGCCAGGCTCCATATTTTAGCATAAAGCCTGGAAACATTGGGGAAACCGCTAACATTTCAAATACCCATTTTAATATATTACATGATGACAATTTATGGACATGTTTCTTTCTGTACACACACTACTCACTAAGTTAAATGCTATAGCAGTAATGACTGTTTACATCCCAAGGTTGCTCTGTAACTGAAAGATTTTCAGAGCTGCACTCATGATGAGATGACCCTGCTTACTGGAAACGACAGTGCACAGCCTCTCCTCACAGCAGGAGACAACAACCAGTGGATTTAATGGAACAAATCTCCTACACCTAAAAGAAATCTAGCCAATTTTGGATAAAATTCAATAAAAGTGGGAAACAGGAAGCCTTAGTAATAAAGCCAGCTCCTGTTCTGACCTGTATATGCTGAAACATTACTTCATCACTGCAGTTTGACAGACAGGCCTGGCGTTGACATAAATATACACTTTCTGCATGCATAAAGTCACATATGCTTACATTTGGTATACACGCACTGTCAGATCGCTGACAAATCCTCAGCAGAGATGGCTGAAGAGTGATGCAAAGAGTTGCGGAGAGGCTGGGGACTGGTGGAGAAGCAGCAAGCAGCGCTGCCATCTTTTCTCCCTAGTTGTTCACCCAGTGAGGAAGTCTGGACCTCGGTCTTTCGCTTTCCTCGCCATCGCTGCCTCTCTGAGCACCGTACTGGGAGAGATTCGTCACATAAACCACAGAGCCCTTCACTTAATGCCCTCCTAAAAACTGGCAACTGTTCAACTGCCTCTGCCCTGAACCAACATGGATGCCGCCAATGCCAGTGCCCTTTTCTCCGATTGGCCCCTGTCCAGCTTGCCACTCCAACTGCATCTATCCCTGTTAGGGCCTTGGGTTTGGAAGGAGAGAGAGAGCAAGGGAGGGGAAGACTGCCAATACAAACACTGTTCCGCTGGCTTTTTACAAGCCAAGAGAGTGGGGAAGTTAATAAGCAGGTATTGGTTTTTAACTGCGGCCCGTTTATTGCTTTGCCCTCGAGCGTGCTAGAGTGCTCTACTCCACCTTTTTCCTGTCCATCTGCCCATTGCCTCTGCTAACCTCCCGCTCAATCTCTCCCTCTCCATATCGGCTCTCCTTTTGTCCCGACTTGCCTCGTTCTGCAATTAATTCACCATCATCATCATCTGGCTGACTCCTTCTCTTCACCTTTTTTATGCCCTTTTTATTTTAAGCTGAGGTGAAAAAACCGTTACAATTTACAAACAAACCCTGCACAAAGCACTTAATGATCTGTCATTGTGTCATATTTGATTCAGCGTTTTGCAAGTGTGTGTATTGGTCCTCCTCATGTGCCTGTATATTAGGTCCGTCTGTCAATACTGGACTTTTATTAAAAATCGGATGTCAGCCAGTCAGTGCTGTCCGACTCGGGCGTGATGAATATGATGCAGTTTAATTACGTGCATATTGTGCAGTGATCGATGTCATCTGGGTTTCAATGGACAGTTTTAATTTTCCCTCCTCAGAAGCTTTTATGCAGCACCAAGAACAGAAACGAGTGTACTAGAGACTAAAACCTTCAGTTCTACCCCAAAGCCATTGAAAGGTAGGGTTGGTGGTTATTTTCAGAAGCATGTTTTGTTACACATCTTGAACTTTTCTTTTCATCCCGATGGCAATGAACGCATTTAATGTACTGACATTAAGAAACAAACCCGTCACCTGTGGCAGTAGCAGGGCTGAACAAAGCCTAACCGATAATTTTACTCATCCCAAGCAAAACCACTGGAACAAAACCTGACTTCCTACTTGCACACCCTCTGCCCGTGCACCCAATGCATGAGCCAAGAGTCTCCCACAAGGCATTGCACTTGTAGGCAGACTTGTTACTGCTCTGTTTTGTTAACTAAAGCTATGGCAGAGAAGGTACCACAGCAGCTTTGGTTCGCAAACAGAGACCGTTGTCACAGGCCAGGCCTTCCCCTATAAGACACATGGCCTTATGAGTAATGTTGTTGTTGTTGCCAGAAGTTGCTACCTGCATGCAGTGTGGACAGTATGAGACCGAGAAGACCACCGCACAGAACAGACTCCTTTTACATGCAGCCACAAGTGGGGAAGTGCCAACAGTAGTCAGCTCTAAGTGTACAGACAGGACTGTACTGCAGTTAACTGGGCACCAAAGGCCACATGTTTGTGTCACCAAAACAGAATAAAGTCTGTGTTTTGAACGGAGTTCGCCGGCCTCTATCTCTCCTCCTCACAGGAAAAGACCAGACTTCTAAGGCTAGTTACCGGCTACGAGCCAGGGCTAAAGCAGTTTAGCCATGAACCAGAAGTTCCCCAACTATGGTTCAGGGCCACACATCTGGGCGGGTAACACCATGTTCAAGAAAGTTAAAACTAAAAAGAAGTTGGATGCTGCAAAAAGGAAAACCAGAAATAACATCTTTGTGGCTTTTGAACAACGGCAACAACTGAAAGAACAAAAGGGCCTGAAAGGTGACGCCATGGTGGCTGTGTTTCTGCTGGACAGGGATTTATCAGTTTGGTTTTGTTTGGGGGCCATTTGTTATTTTCCTGAAACCTCTAAGTAGTAGTCAGGCCATGTGTGTTGTGTTTTGGGGGAGCGGCTTTGGAGAGAAGTCAGAAAGAAAGGGCGGGATTTCTTCAGTTGGTTACTTTCAAAATCGAGCTTCATCTTGCTGGCTTTTAGTTATAGTTAAATTTTTTAAAATCATATTTCTTGTATTACAGCCATCTGCAACAACCTTTATAAGCAGGACTAAATGGTGGTGGGTTCGTCAATCCTGAAAAGAAAGTCTGCATTATTCAGGAACGAAAAACTATTTTAAAATCTTTTGCATGTTTATTGGGAAAAAATCTTTTTTTTCCGATTTGCTGTTTATTTATATTACTCTGTAAAAAAGATGTTAGAATGTTAAGAAGATATTTAGAATCAATCAGTAAAAGCAGGTACATGACAAAATATAGTGCATGACATTTTTATGCTGATTGAAAATGAGTGATTGCAGGAATTGACAGTATTTCTAATCCTTTCTTAGGCTATCAATACTATTAAAAACCTGACACCTGTTTTATTATAATGTCTGATTAAGTCGATGATAAACGTAGCATTTACACAGGTTCGCGTACAGGTGTTACTGCAGGTTGAAGGACCTCTGACTTTATCATGTTTCCTCCACTTTCAAACCAAATCTATGCCCTTGCCAGCAACTACAATCCAATTTTATTGGCATCTAACTTCAAAAAGCCCCAAACATAACATCCTGACAGAGATGTTGCTGCAGGGAGAAGCTAGGAAAGGAGGAGGGATGACCAGACAGAACAGTGTAGAAGAAAGCAATTTCATGTTCCCATAATCCTGAGACAGCTGCATATGTCCTCCGCGGGGCTGCTTCACACCTCCAACAAGGGATGAGTGACTGACTCTCACTGCTCAAGAAAACACACCAAGTTTAATATACTTATTCCACTAGCAATTAACACAGTGACTCTGTGCGAAACAACAAGCTCGACTCTGGATCTAGATCCCAAACACAAATCCCGTGTACAGCTCTTGTGGGACTCACAGTATCCACCCGGTCCAGCCCAGGAGGGCTATCTGCTGATCCAACTGACAGCAGCAAGCGAGTGCAGGCGCTCAACTGATGAGATTCCAGTTAGCCAGCGCAGCCAAGGAGAGAGGCGGGGAAGCAGCCAATAGCCCGAGCAGAAGGGATCTGGGGGCCTCTAAATACCCACCCCAGGCTAAAGGAGCAAGAGTGAGAGCAAGCTCCAGCCCACTTCCTCAATCACTCTCCTGGGCTACAGGAGGGAACAACAGTGGAGAGCAGAGCAGACGGCATGAAAGGCAACACCACGGCGTAACGCACTCCAGACGAGTGCCCAGACATTCAGAAACAGATGTGAGCAAGAAATCAAACACTTATTTTTAAAGTGTTTTGACCACCAGTGGCACTTTAGAGTAATGTTTTGATGATTATGCTGATGGTTATCTGAACATGCATGCTACGAGCACAGGCAGACGTGCCACACATTACTGCAGACCACAAAAGGAGGTAATGCAAGTACGGTATATGGGGAGCATGAACAGAGCAGGTTGTACCAATTAACCATTTAGATTGGGTTGATAAATTTACTGGGCAAAAGGGGAAGTTTGAGCCTGCACTCATGCACATTTTATACATTTACATTTTTATATTTCTGATCTTAAAATAAGTAATCAGTGCACCTGGAAGATTTGACTGTAATTAGTAAAATGAATAATGATATTTTCTCAGTATTGATATACTGTATATATACACATATATCACAATATAGTAAATGTATTTAAAAATGTTTATAAAACAAACTGATGGTAACTGTTGTTGTCTGTTACATGGTAGCTAATGTTATTTTTGTCACTTGGAATTATCTCACTGTTGTACACAGAAGCTGTTGGTGACAATGTGTCATAAAACATGGAAACACTTCCGCCGTGGCTTCAGGCTTTAAGGATGCACACTGTTTTTGTGTTTTCTTATGCCCGTCTCCTCTGATCGTTTCAGTATTTTGCACTGATTGCACAAACTGAGCCTCTCAGTCAGTTGCTTACCTGCTCACATTTTCGGTCACTGACGCTTACAAATGCACTGTGGCTGCAGTGCAACACACTGACGTACATTACAGTTTATTTACACACACACACACACACACACACACAAACAAGCACAGACACAAGTTGGGACGAGCCGCCTCAGGGTGCTGCTGTAAGTGTGTGATTAGAGGAGAAAGTAGACAGAAGAGAATCGAGGACACACACTCACCCCTGTTAAGGTCTTTATGTTATGCAGCGCGTTCTGGGCTTCAAGGGCAGCTTTCCTTGTGTAAAACGTGACAAAACAGCAGCCTGGAGAGAGACAGACAGACAGAGGGGATGAGCATAAGGAGCAACAAAGAGCAGCTTCTCTATTCATCTGCTTGGCATCACCTGTCGACACTGGCAGACACAGAGTGAATGTTAAAGCAAAGGATTCGTTTCAGCGCTGATCATCTGAAGGAAGTGTGTGCACACTGCAACGCATGTGCACAAACAATACAAAGACAGTCAGAAAAGGAGGAGGTGATAGGAGTAATCTGTGGACAGTTGCTTACTCACTCATTCACTAAAGAAAGCGTTCATTCACTGCGATTTAGTGATTTGGAGGTCAACACTCATTGAGATTTTCAGGCTAAAGCCTGAATAAAATGTGGCTAAAGGTGAAACACCTACTATAAGTAACAGTAAGCAGTGTTTCATCTGCATTTTGAGTGCAGTTAGTAGCTGCTCCGCTTGGACATGTTTAAATATTGTTAAAACAGCTGTACATGTAAAAACTAACCTAATTCTACACTGCACCTATGAATCAAACAGATCTGGTGCTGTGCTCGCTGACAGATGTTTCCCTGATTGCTTAGAGCAAAATAACCCTGAAAATAAAATCAGTAACCGGAACACAATGCCAGACTGAATAATCAAGTGAGAGCAAAATGGCAATTCAGTCCAATTATCAGCCTACTAAAAACTCACTTTTAATCCTCCTTTAGCCCAGGTTTAACCTTCACATCCCAACCTACAAATCAAAGTTTATTAAGTTGCTCGCTCACTCGGTGACACACACACAGGGTACTGTACGCATATGTATACACAAATGCAGTGAAGAAAGCAGAGGGGGAACGAGGGAGAGAGGGATTTTGCCTCTTCATTAATCTGTGTGTAATCCCTGCAGAGTGGGGCTGAAACACTGCGGCTGTGGGCCATTGTCAGTCTGCATGCAAACCTGCACACTCAGGCAAAGAGCAAAAGGATGACATTCTGGGCCAGACACAGAGGTGTTCCATTTTCCTCATACACACAGCAGCTGTTATTTGATTTATGTCAAACACAGGATGTGTCTTTCTTAGTAAGGGCTGTTGTCTGGGTGACACGCTTGACATGATTATCTAACTGCAAGGGGAAATTTAAAAACTGCTGAAAAAGAACACAGAGAGCCGACTATAGAAGAAACAGGAAGCGCTGAGATTCACGCTGTATGAAAACCGACATGGACAGAATCCGTATTTGCTGCTTGTTTGCCTTTTCCTCCTTCACCAATGCTAGTTAGCGTAACTATTAGTAGGCAGCAACTGTAGAAACTACTTGTTTGTAGTTAAAGTGATGGTAACTAAACAGACCATCTTAATCCATTTGCTTCAAAAGCAATCAGTTTTTTCAGCACCTGAGATTATTTTGCATCAGCAGACCTACAGCCTCCGACTCAGTTAACAAGATCAACACACATTAGCGTTCGCCTGCCACAGGTGAGCTTGTGTGAGCTTCCTTCCGCTTGCTGCAGGTACATATGTTTGGACCTTCTGCCTCCGGCTTTGCTCATCTGTTAATTTAGGTGTGTATTTATTTGTCGAGAGATGAGCCAAGTGTGCCACTGTTTACACCTGCTTTGTTGTCCTCCCCATTGTGTTTACGACACAAATCAGCTCAGTGTGAATGAGGCAGACTGGTTGTGGTTTTGTTGCCCATATCGCAAACATCAGCCCTTATGACACTTGCCCTGCAGTGCATCTTAGTGAAATCCAACAGTGAGCATCAGGAGCAGGTTTAGGATCTGAATCCCAGAGTCCCTTTGATGAGGCTGGGAGCGTAATGGATCTGAATTTCTGCTGTGTCCTCTG